GAGGGGAATAGAACACTTACGAGCTGACCCTGCCTATACGAAATATAAAGCATCTGGTTGGGTTCCGCGTGTAATGGCTTCGTCAGTAGCTGGGGCAAGAGCAGAGTTTACAACACAATCTGTGTCTACAACTGAGCCTGTTGTTTCTGTTGATTGGCTCCATGCTAACCTTAAGGAGCCTGATCTGAAGGTACCTTGTGTTGGCTTGTTTGTACTGTAAATTTTCCTTTCATCCCCCCTTTTCTTCCACCGGAGTGTATGTCTGGAAATAAGTTGAAATTCTTACCATTTAATGCTTGGTGCTCAGTGTTTTTTCACCTTCATGGTATGGAATTTGTTTTTTGATCTGATCATGAAATCTGTTGCTATGTAAAAAATGATATGTGTTGTCATCCTCATCATCAATTCTTTTTCTGTCTTTCTCTACGTATGTACTAACTATATTCAATGTTTGTTTTGTTCTTATTATATAGAATTGTCTTTTTTACTTGGAGACATTTCTTTTTTCTCATCTTTCTTAGATGCATCCTTTTGGTCCTACATGTTGGTAATATTTATTTAGTTATCTACTTCAGGTGTTGGATGCCTCTTGGTACATGCCTGATGAGCAAAGGAATCCAATTCAAGAGTATCAGGTGTTCACTGCGCTTTCTGTTTGCAGAAGTCATACTTTATGCTCTAATTGTTTTTTATTGTGGACAATTGCTGCTACTTTATTTCTCAAAAATACTCCTCAACTCCAATCCTATTCCAAAATCTTTCATGTTATTTCATGGTGTTTCAGCTTCCTCTCTGGTGCAGTTTTGTCAATTTATCCTCTCCATCATGACAGGTTGCTCACATTCCTGGTGCACTTTTCTTTGATGTAGATGGAATCTCAGATCGCACTACAAAAGTGAGATGCTTCCTCTTTATTTGTCTTGTCGCCCTTCTCTAAATGACATCTTAGATTTCTTATATTCTGTCCTATAATAATATATACTAAACACTAGTCTTGTTAGCGGTAAATAATTTATTTCATGCTATTATATTAGTTGACTTAGAAAACGTTCTTATTTACATGGCCAATTTCTAAAAAGATTCGGATTGATTAAAGATGTTAATATTAGTCTCATATTGATGTTGTAGGTTTTTAGTTGTGTGTGCCATCATTGCCAGGCATAAACATCACTTTTGTAACTATCTAGCAGTCTCCTGTTGTTTGCCTTTATTTATGATTTAGAAATGATGACTTGTAACAGTTACCGCATATGTTACCATCAGAGGAAGCCTTTGCTGCTGCTGTTTCTGCTCTTGGCATTGAGAACAAAAATGATCTAGTGGTGTATGATGGAAAAGGGATCTTTAGTGCAGCTCGTGTGTGGTGGTAAGTTATGGGGCGAATGTGAAAGATTTAGGGTGCGTTTGGTATTGTTTAACAAAACAGTTTTCGTTTTGGAAAACCAAAAATGTATGGAAAACACGTTTGGCACCATAATCTTAATTTTTTTATTATAAAGAAACATGGGATACAATTCTGAAATTCAGCTTTAGTTTTAAAAATGTTCCCATGATGTTTTCACTCTTTTGTCCGATACCCTCAGCTACTTGCTCTCTCTACCCTTTCGTGGCCTCTTATATGACACCCACTTATCTTGTCCAGCCTTCTCTCTAATTCCTCTTTCATTTCTTCAATCACTGTTCCTCTCATCATTGAAAGGAATTGATGAGAAATCAGCATCACAAGGAGAAAAATTGATATAAGTACGATTGGCCTCTCTCTCACTCTGACCTTGTTTGAGGTAAATATCCACTCAAACAAAAAGTAGCATATTATCTACCAGAGACATTCTTGAATTTTCAAATTGCACAGTTCAGTTTCTCATTTTCGTTAACAGTTTTTGGAAAATCGTTTTGTAAAATGTTACCAGACACCCCTTTAAGTTTTAACTCATGTGAACTGTATTAAAAATGTGTTTTACGCTGTTATTTATGTAGCATGAACTAATGCTTCATTTCCTTATAATATGAAAAGGATGTTCCGAGTATTTGGCCATGACAGAGTCTGGGTTTTAGATGGAGGCCTACCAAGTTGGCGTGCATCTGGATATGATGTTGAATCTAGTGCATCTGGTGATGCAATTTTAAAAGCTAGTGCTGCCAGTGAGGCAATAGAGAAAGTATACAAGGGACAAGCAGTAAGTTCACAATTTGTACACTGAGTCTCTGACATCAGTTATTTTTTGACACAGGCATTTTTGGACTCTCTGAATCCAAAAGCAATAACATACGGTTGTGGTTCTTTCAGTTTTTTTTTTTTGTGAATGTTTGATATCTGATGTTTTGGAACTCGTTGTATTAATGATTAAAAGGATTATGGAAGCTTAAACCATGTGCACTTTTCTTGACAAGATAAATTTCTAAACTCTTAGGTTCTATCCTTCTCACTCCGTCGGTTCTTTAGTTTCTGTTTGTTGTCTATTTTCTCTATACTTAGTAGACATATTTTATTGGAGCATGGGTTAAAGTGGAAGAAATGCTAGCAGTTTTTTGTAGTCCTTTGTCATTTTGTTTTGTGATGTTAGTGTGTACATTGTGTACATTGTAGTTTCTGGGATCAATAACTGCTCTTGACATCTAGAAAATTTGTAGTTGTAAATTATTATTGTTTGCTAGTAACAGAAGTAAAGAAATTTGTAGTTGTAAATTATTATTGTTTGCTAGTAACAGAAGTAAAGAAATTTGGGAGTTTGATGAGGGGGTTGAGCTGTTGAAGGCTGACCTAGAGTTCAGAACTTTATTTTTCCTTTTTTCTTTTTTGGGAGGTGGGGTGTCGGTCCTCACAGTTGCGATGTCCATTAAATTGACTTTATCTCGTGTTCCAGTTTTTATTATTTAACCTGTGATACTTTTCAAGTCTTGTTGTGATCATTTCGGGAAATGCAACATTCTGCAGGTTGGGCCAACTACATTTCAGACTAAGTTTCAGCCACATCTTGTCTGGACTATTGATCAGGTTTGGTTTGTTTACCTTGACTAACTACTAAAGGTGTGTGTCTCAAATAAATCCCGGAAATTGGTGGCAAGTACGTCTGTTTTTTCAAGCAGATATTTTAGTTGATTGATTTTTGTTCTTGATCAAATCCTTGCATCCTAAACTTTGGGGTGTAATAAGGGTTGGATGTTTGGACATCCGTACCAATTGCCTAAAACAATTAAAAAGTTGTAGACTTGCTTTTCCACATTTTTGGTTTTCCTTCGTTCTAAAGGTGTAAGTGTAACCAAGTGATTGATGTGAGAGTCAACAATTGCAAGCAAGCACTGTAAATAAGTGTGTTTGTTTTGCTGTGCTTTAAAGAAAATACAAAATCTGTTTCCAATGCATCCTGGTTTTATATTTCCTACTGTATTTTTCAGGTTAGAAAAAATGTTGAAGAAAGAACTCACGAACATATAGATGCCCGATCAAAGGCCAGGTATTCTTTATAATAAAGCAATTGCATGTGCTTCATGTGCTCAAGTTTGACATTTTTAGCCAATCTTCAGCATATAAGTTTTGTTTCCTGGGTAATTATTTGAAGCTTGAGTAATTCTTGGTCTGCTATTTTCCCCATAGTTGTGTGAATCACCAGCTGGAACTTGTTCATGCATCATGTAATAATTGGTTGGAATTCCTAATCTTGATTGAAATAATTTAACAGTAGGTTGAGCACCCTTACTTTTTCTCTGTTTCTCTCCCTTTTGCAAAGTAAATTATGCAGTTATATGGAGACAGTTTGGATGGATGTCTATTTTGATGTGGGTATTTTTTAATAATTATTATGTGGGCTTTGAAGGTTTATTATCTTATCTGGCTTGATATCCATAAAGTTTGGTTTTACATTAACAATCTTGGATTTGATGTCTTGCAGGTTTGATGGAACTGCATTGGAGCCCCGGAAAGGGATAAGAAGTGGTCATGTACCTGGAAGCAAGTGTGTCCCTTTTCCTCAGGTAATAGATCAAATGCTTGTGTTTGACCTCTTATAGTGGTGACTTAATGATGCATCCCTAGGATTTGTAATGATTCAATCAATGAGTGTCTGAAGAACTTGAGGCGAATACATAATGGATGGTGGAGGATTTTTTGTATGTTTTAAGTTTTAACTATAATCGTCTCATTCCTCAGATCTGAGGTGACATTCATTTATAAACATTTTCAGTAATTCAGAAACTAAAAGGGTTTTCTGAATATATGTATTTGTAATTGACGGTTAGCTACCTGAAATAATGAACAACAAAAAATTGTGTACTTCGTCATTTTGACATTTTCAGACCTTGATGCAGGCGATCTATACCAACTGTTAAAACTATAATATTTTTGGAGTCTGGTTATGAGCATGATAGTAGTCTTGATTATTTTAAAATTTGAGTGAAGTATATGATTAACCATTCTACATTGTTTAAAATTGGAAGCTAGCCTAGATGTCTCAATTCTGTTGTATCAAAACTTTCTTTGCAATGTCGGCAATTTCCACTCCCCTTTCCCTAATAATCTGTTTCTTACTCTTTTTGAAATTGCAATAAAAATATGTTGATTTGTGTTAAAGAGCTATGCTGCATAACTGTTGATTAACAAATGTGTTGTTTCCTTACAGTTGTTGGATTCTTCTGAGACACTCTTACCAGCAGATAAGTTGAAAAACAGATTTGATGAAGCAGGTAAGAATTTTATTTATTTATTTATTATGATTTCCCGTTAAAAATCTCAAAACTTTAGTACATTTCTACTTAGTTCTATAAGCCATTGTACCTGATCATTCTTGTTATAGGATTAATCCATTTTTGTTGTTTACAATGAGGTTTTGGATAACTGTAATAAGAAAACAAATAGATAGTAAGTACTTCCCGACTCCCTTTCTAGAACCTATTTTTACACCAAGACATAATATAATGATCAACAAAAGTCATGGTTTCCTTCCCCCTGCCTGCCTCTTACATATATACTGTTTTTTTTTTCTTCCAGAAATTGTGGATTATATTTCTGTAGTACCATATTGTAATTGGTCACAAGGTATCTGAATAACATTAGTTATTAATGACCCTAACCTCATGCTGCAGGCATCTCTTTGGAAAGCCCTATTGTTACTTCATGTGGGACTGGTGTAACTGCTTGCATTCTTGCACTGGTAATTATCTCTCTCCAAAAGTAGACACAAAGACATATATGTGCGGGTGTGTGAGTATTTATATGTTAGTAAGATGAAAAGGACATAATTGTAAATTGCCTGATGTTAGATCTCTTTTTATCTGTCAGGATAAAAAACAGTAAAAATGTGAGTGTTTTAAATCATGACTATGTGAATGTTTTAATCTTGGATCAAGATTAATTCCTTATACTAGTCTTTTCAATGAAAGGATAGGCTCTGTGATTCTGTGGGTTTGGTGCTACACATTTCTGATTTTCTTAGATACAATAAAGCTAGAGAGATGCAGATTGGTAGCATATGGCTGTAGCATCCATGCTGCTATAATGCTAATCCTGTATTCATGAATTTTTGTTTTAAAAAAATTCGGAACTCTTTTGTTCATACATATTCATGTGGTCTCATCCAGGGTCTTCATCGACTCGGTAAGCCTGAAGTAGCAGTCTATGATGGATCTTGGACTGAATGGGGAGCGCAGTCCGACACACCCATCGACACTTCTTCGTAAAGTGTTTAAATCCAGTGGTATTGCTGGAAGCTTGTTGGCACCATGAGCAACCTCGGGCCTGGTTGCTTACTCATATTATGACAAAAGAGGTTGTATCTAAGTTAAAAAAATCTTGTTATAAGTCGTGTTATTGAATCCCAACGTGTGTTTTCACTGTTTAAAATCTCAACCTCTACGCCCCTCTGTTTGAATCCTATTGGGGATCTTATGTGGCACATGAATCAAAGCAGCAGATTGGAAGAGGTTTAAGGCATTCTGTGTTTATTATTGATCCATGATAAAATAAATTAAGTAGGGAATAAGTTGACTCGCTTTGCTGATAAACATAATGTGTTTTTTTAATAAATGCTTTCCGAGGATGTTATAGAAAATAAACTAAACCGCTGCATTTTCAAGTCAAATGAAAATAATCGAACATACGAGAGCACCGAAGCGAAAATAAAAGAGAGAAATTATATTTACAGGAAAATAAAATCTTGTCAACCGCTAGATGTGAGCAGCTGGTGGAGATTGTTGGAGAGCGAAGGTTTTGATTGAGCATCAAAATGTTTTGCTAATATCTCAACAAACTTCTCCGGAACCAAGCAATTGTTCTCCAAGTATAGCTTCTCTTGAATAATAGGAAATGCAACTACTTGCAGCTCTTCAGCAGGAGGAGCTCCCTTCAATTCCTGCATGTATAACAAAAGAGAATTGGCATAAAAACCCTACAAAAATAGAATGAGAAAAAGTAAAAACAAAGAGAATTAGACAGAAAAAACCATTAACTATTTTTTAATTTTTTTTTAATGGTGGAAGTAAAATTTAGAGGGAAACTGAGCAAAATACCTGAAATGACCCCATGAATTCAAGAATGCCAACTTGAGCCTGCAAGTACTTGACAAAGTTGTAAGCAGCTGTGTTCATCTTGCTTCCTCCAGGAACAAGCTTCCCTAGCTCTTGAGTCTTCTCTGTGATCTTCCTCCTCCTTTCTCTAGCCGCAATACTCTGCGCAGACACGCATTTTTCTTCCACTTTCTTCTTAGCAATAAAACCAATCTCATAGTCATTAACTTTTGACTTGTTGCTATCAGTGACTGTCTCCTCCGGATGCTGATTACATGTGAGCAATGGAGTAGCAAAGACTCCAGGTGCCGGAAGCAACTCGGGCAAGGGACAAGAATCTGGAGCAAACGCATCATAGAAAGTTGCGGGTGTGAACTCCGGGTAAACGAAATCTTGGAAGCATTTTTGGCGTTTCGGGTACGGGTAAGGATAGAAATCAAGTTGTGGAAACATGTCAGGGGTAGTGAGATGTGGAAGAAGAAGTTGATCGTCACTGGTAGTGTCAGGATGATAGTTTTCGAGGTTGAGAAGATTGTAGGGGTCATGGCATGGATGATCATCAAGAAATAATAAGTTGTTGGGAAGGATGGAACAATTGTAGTCTAGTTGGTAATATTTGAGGAGCTCTTCTGCTGCTAATAGCTCTGCTTCTATATTTGGCTGGAAACAGTTGGTCATCTCTGAGCCAAAAGACTGAGGTGGAACCGTTTCCCGGCTTGAAAATGAACTCAAGGCCATGGAATGTGTGTGCTTAATTAAAACCTGAAAATAATAGAAATTGTAAGAAAACAAAGATTATAGAGAATGAACAGCTAGCACAAAATAAAATAGACATGCATGCAAAAAAAGATGTGTTAAAGTTCATGTACAAGCTGCGGCAAAGTAGCTAGATTCTTGAAAAGATTTAAAGTAAACTAGCTAGAAATGTGTGTGTATGTGTGTGTGTGTGTGTGTGAGAGAGAGAGAGAGAGAGTACCTGATAAGATGCTGTACAAGAGAAGACAGAAGCAGACCTAAATAAGACCTGAAATTGAATTAATTAGCACTAATTAATTAACTACAAAACTTACAATAACCGACCTAATCCTGACTGCATGGCTTGCGGGAGAGAAATAGGGAGAGAGGGTTTGTGGGTTGAGAAATATGGGGGAGTTGAGGTTTGGAACCGTTACCAAATAACAACCCGCGGGAAAATCTCTAGGGTTTTGAGCTTATCTATAACTGTAACTAAAAACCGCTATACATATGGCCAGCTTGGTGTGGCTGCAAGTCTGCATGCCCCCCTCTTAATTAAACTCCTAGATTTTACTTTTTTATTTTTCCTATATCTTTGACTTGTTTAAGTTATTTATGCATGCAAGGAAACATATGAAAAATCACATTTTTAGACCTTATTAGCCGATTACATAATGTTAGCAATTGATTCGTAAATTATGACCAAAATTCACATGGTTGGTTGGCTATTGTGGTCTAAAAATATATGATCTCTCTAGCATTACTTAAAAAACATGTATATATATACCTTTTAGTCAAAACCTGAAAAAATGATTAATGAATAATGAGCGAGCACGAGTGATGACCGATATTTGGTACGACAAACTTGTCAATTTCTTTTTCGTATTTTAGATTCATTGATTAATTAATATCATATTTTGTGAATCGTTATAGAAGTAGGGGCTTTTCCCCCTTTGTTTTCCTAGAAGAATTTGTTATCTTACAATACGTCATCTATATTTGTAATAAGCCACAACTGTTCCTCAGTAAAAAAAAATCCAAACCAAACAAATGAATTTTTTTTTTACTAACTATAAAACGTCACTACACGAATAGGCAGAGTTAGAATTTTTGGATTTGGAGGCCAAAATGTAGAACTTAATTATAAATGGATTTATGATCTTAAATTAGGAGGAAGGGGCAACCCTAACTTTGATTATGAAATTTTCTGTATGATATCATATTTATTTTCAAGCTTGGCTTTGTCTAAGGTTAATCTAACAACGTTAATTTTGCTCCAAGAAATTTCAAACCCTCGTTTGGAACCGTTTCACTTACCACCAAATATAGAAGCAGAGAAAACAGGGAAGAGAAAAAGGGAATGAGTGTGAGGAGGGGAGAAAAACAGGGAATGAGTGTAAGGTCTTGGTTCATCTTCTCTAGATTAATGCTTTCTCGGTTATATTTTATTTTCATCTTTTGAATTCTACATGAAAATCTCAAACCGAAAGCTGTAAATTCTATCTGGTTAACTTCAAGCATGGCAACAGGAGAGAATTCAGAAGCTCCCATTAAGGAGAATAAAGTCACCCATTCTGAGGAAAAAGAGAAGAAATCATCCAAGGATATCCAAGACAAAGGTAGTGAAGCAAAGGAGGTGAAAAATGCAGCAGAAATTGGTGAACCTAAAAAGAATGAGGCTGTGTTTGAAGAGGTAATTTTGGAGGAGAAGAAGAAGAAGAATGAAGGTGAAACAAAGGTGATTGTGGTGGAGGATAAGAAAAAAGAAGCTGAAATAGAGAACAAGAATAACGAGGTTCAAAAAGGCAGTGTCTCCGAATCAGCTAAAGTTGAGAAAAGTTCAGCCATGGAAAAAGTAGTTTCTCATTCTGATGAACAAGAGAAAAATCCATCCAGGGATGTCCAAGACAGGGGTATTGAAACAAAGGATGGGAAAAATGCAGGGGAAGCTGGTGAACCTAAAAAAGATGAGGGTGTAATTGGAAAGATGTTGGTGGAGGAGAAGAAGGAGACTGATGCTGACACAAGGGATGTTATGGCAGAATATAAGAGAAAAGAAGGTGAAGCGGAGGAGGCGGTTTTGGAAGAGAAGAAGAACAATGATCAGGTTGAAAGAGGGGATGCTTCTTCAGAATCTATTATAATTGAGAAAAATTCATCATTCAGGGAAAAAAGCAACTTCATCTCTGACTTGAAAGAGCATGAGAAAAGGGCTTTGATGGAGCTGGGATCGAAGGTTGAAAACGCAATACTCAGGAACAAGTTGTTTAAGGGAAACAAGTATCAAGTAGTAGGGGATGAGAAGGAAAAGATATTGGACAATGAAGGTGGAGATAATGAGAAAATAAAAGAAAATGGGAGGAAAGGAGAAGAAAACGGTGTGAAAGAAGCTGAGAAAGAGAAAGAAACTTCCGAGAAGGTAGAAGAAATTGAAGAAAAAGAAAAGACATTGGAGAAGGAAGGTGGAGAGAAGGAGAAAACACATGAAGGGGAGGGAGAAGAAAATTCTGTGAAAGAAATTGAGAAAGAGAAGGAAAGCTCTAAGAAAGTAGAAGAGATTGAAGTTGCAAAAGCATCGGTAGAAGAGAAGTTGGTAGTGAAAGAAGAGAAAGAAGAAGATAGTAAAGAGAATAAACTTTCCAAAGAAGAAGACAGTAAAGAGAATAAACCTTCCAAACAAGAAGATGAGGAAAAGGATAAAAAGGCTGAAGAAGGCCAAAAAGAGAAGAACAATGTGGCTACCGATCAGGAACGAAAGGTTGACGTCATAGATGAGGATATTGCAGTTTGGGGGGTACCCTTATTGCCTAGTAAAGGAGATAGTGCCACTGATGTCATACTATTGAAGTTCTTGAGGGCTAGGGACTTTGAAGTCAACGATGCTTTCGAGATGTTGAGGAATACACTCCAGTGGAGGAAGGACAACAATGTCGATTCGATCTTGGATGAGGACTTCGGTGATGATCTTGGTTCCATAGAGAACATGGATGGTACCAGTCGTGAAGGGCATCCGGTTTGTTACAGCAACTTTAAGCTGCTTGGGAATGAAGAGGTATACAACAAGATGCTAGGGAGTGAAGAGAGCCGTGAAATGTTTATAAGGAGGAGGGTTCAACTAATGGAGAAAGCGATTCAGAAGCTTGACTTTGAGCCTGGTGGAGTGTCCTCCATACTCTTAGTCAATGATCTCAAGGACATGCCTGGCCCCTCTAAGAAGGAGCTTCGGCTTGCTACAAAGCAGGTCATCGGGCTACTTCAGGACAACTATCCTGAATTTGTTGCAAGAAATGTAAGAGTTTTTCCATCCATATATAACCTTTTTATTCGTGACACTTTGAGATTCCACATTAAATTCCATGCATCTTCAAACTTTTCATGCCATGCCTTGTACTGCAATTGATGGAACACTTTATTTTCCTGTGTAGATCTTCATCAATGTTCCTTTCTGGTACTATGCCTACAGTGCTAGCACTCTCCTGTTACCTTTCTTAACTCCAAGAACCAATAGCAAATTTGTCTACGCTCGCCCTTCCAGGGTCACGGACAATTTGCTCAAGTAATGTTCCTTCAATGTCAGTAATTGGTGGCTAATTGGTCAACTGGAAAGTTCTTAACCAAACTTGAACCTTCTTCATTGCAGGTTCATAGCTGCAGAGGAACTACCAGTCCATTATGGCGGGCTTAAGCGGGAAA